TGGAAAATGTCAGTCCAGAGGTTCCTGACATTTTCATAGAAGGTGACTCACCTTCCAAGAAGCAGAAAAAATGCTTCTCCTCCACCTCAACTTCCTTCTCTTCTCCCTTCTCCTCCTCCACCTCCCATTTCAAATTCACATCATCATCATCATTACCCAGGAGCCTTCTACATCCACACCTCAAGGTAAGTGTCCATTTCTAATTTTTTTTTTAATTTAGGCAAGTAAATCACTGTGGGTGCGCGTGATCCAAGTATATGCTGATAACCACAAGGAAAGAAGAAAACACGAAGTTCCCAAGCGCTTTCGTGTAATTCACATCTTCAGGGGTGAGTACAGACTAAGGAGAAGTACAAAAAGAGGTATATATATACAGAGGAAGGTGAGATCAAGTCCACAATGGTCAGGTATTAGGTAATGACCCTACTCATCTTCAAAAAGCACCGCAGCAGTCGGTAGTCAGGTCAACCCTCGCTTTACGCGGTACCCTGCCAAAACCGGAATGCTCACTTTCCGCGGTGTGTGTACCCTTTTACGCGGAGAACGGCGCGAGCAGGGTGCGCACAAGGTCGCCCAGTCATCAAAACATTACCGAGTTCTTCACCCGCCACCCACCACAGCTGGCCCAAGTCAGTGATAGTGATAATGATAGTGAGGATATGGACTTATATGGACTTTGAGGGGTTTGACAAAGAGGCCCTGCAGGCCTCTGTGGTGGCTAGTGATACAATTGATACAAGTGATACAGGTGAGGGCCAATAATCTGCCCTCTGCCTCGGAACCAACCCCCCATCCCCATGTGCCCAGCCATATTTCTCTTAATTATTAATTGTGTGTGCATACCATCATAAAATTAAGAAGTTATTTTTACTACAACGTAGGTATTGTGTCTGAAAAAGTGGAGTTTCGGGGTCGGCCCGGTCTCTATTTCAATTAATCCCATATGTTATGTTGTTCACTTTACGCGGGCCACCATGGGTTGAATTAACCGCGTAAAGTGAGGGTTCACTGTATGTATATGTATGTATGTATATGTATGTATGTATGTATGTATGTATGATAGTTATTTTGTGGGTCCCTTTTTTCTGACCTGACTTGGCTAGTCACGTCACCACCCTTCTCTTTAGCTCCTCTACGTGTGTGTTGGTGTGGGGATTAGTGGATGTCATCATTTTGACCTGACCTCATGTTTTTAGGTCACCCTGTATATTTAAGCCTCTCTCTGTCCATGTAATCCAGTTGCCTCTGAAGATGTCTTGAATAAAGACGAAAGCTAAGGTACTCCGTTGTTTCCATTTTCCCGTGTGATTTTATCAAGATTTATCTTATCCACGTTTTCATTGTGGATTTACATGATATATAAATATATATATATATATATATATATATATGTATGTATGTATATATATTTATTTATTGTACCGAACTTGATGTGTGAAGATTATTCTTTTAATAAATATTACTTTACTCACCATAAACTGGCTGCATCTTTCTGAACTTTGGGCCACATTAAATTGAATTTCTCAATCAATTCACGGGCTGCACAAAGACATGGTTCGGGCCGCGGATTGCCCATTCCCACTCTAGACAAAGGAAAAGTGCAATGCCAAGTGTCTCTTCTTGAGTAATCTTGATAATCTTTATGCAGTGTATTCAAGATCTCTAATAAAACAGTTCAGGTCCTGGGAACTTGGGTTTTCCACTCCATAGGTCATTCATGCCATACCTGAAAACCTCCCATCTTTTTAAGATCAGAATAAAAACCATCAAGCAGATAAAATGTTTTATAATAATATATCACAGACACTTCAACTCTTACGTTGTCATAAAAATTTTCATAATTACCGAATTGCTGCGGTCATTCAACAGTTTGCTTTGACAAGGGAATAACAAAAACCAACCATAACATGCTTGATTGTAACTCACCAGAAATCCACGCACATCTGTATTATTTCATAATGCACAAGAATACATTGCTGCAAAATGTAGATAAAACTGATGATGATGCAAGAAAAATACTACAGTATCTGGTAACTATAGCTCTTGCAAATCCAGTCCCCAAGTGTGGTGACTGGCTGTGTTGATTGTTTAGTTCGTGACCAGCTTCATTCATGCCTGACTGACCTCCACAGGCAGACAATTATTCTCAAGATTATTGTTAAATTGTGAATTGTTTTTGGCTTTTTACATCCACAATGTCATTTTAGAATCACTTTAAGGTTCTCAATACTGAAGGTGAAAGTAAAAAAGCTGTATGCAAGTACTCCAATAGTAATAGGTGACAGTACCACATACTGTATGTTAGGGTGTGACAGTTGCCCCAACTTTGTCCTACAATGCTGTTCAAAATTTTAGTGTTGCATATTGACATAAAAAATACCCACGTGCAATTTTTTGAAGATTCATGCATGTTTGAGTGAGCACCAGCAATTTGAAAAATAGCGATTTTGCTTATACGGCATACGCGCCTATATACGAGATTACACAACCATCATAAGGGATATTAACACAAATCATTTGCCTGTCTTAATTAAAAGCTGTTATCACTAACACAAAAAAGTTAATCATTCTTATTCTCTCATTGTACATTAAGGGGTTTTATCATATATTCACAAGGTATTATTTCTCTAGAGCAAGAAACAATGATTTCTGTTCAGAAACAGATGATCGTTTGCGCTGATTAGGAATGCGTAGTCTGTCATTTTCAACTACTTGAAGGACTTCTTGAAAGCGCTCCTCATCCCTGGCAACATTAAGAAAGTCATGGCAAAGTTTTACACCACGCTCTGCAGCCTCATTGACAACCTGAAGCTTGTCCACAACCCGTTTCATGTTCAGGTAGTCGTCATGATCCACCCATTCACTGGCTGGACTGTGGAGAAACTGATAGGGCATGCCTAAAATGGTGAAGAACCGGCTTGAGTCAGGCCCAATTAGGTCCACCTGGGCAGTGCCACTTTCTCGGACAGGGGGAAGATATGACTTTCCATAGCCCCCATGATTGAGCCCCACTCTCTTAGTAACTTCAGTGCCTTCATGGCAAAGAAGGGCCTTCCTCATCTCCTCCTTTGTCCTTTCTTGTACTTGGGACGAGAACAAAGCCAGTGGGGCCAACTCCTCGGTTAGGTACCAAGTGTGTCTACCGAGTGCCACACGTGCTTTGTCAACTATTGTGGCGTCATATGGGGCAAATTCAGCCAAGGTTTCGACTAAATTCAAGTCATTCAGTGGTGCACTTGCTGGAACGGGGCAAACAATCCACCATGGGACATAAACAGCGACTGTGAACACAGCAAACCGTTCTAACTTGCTGATTTGACTTTGTCACAACCTCGGCTTTGGGAAACTGCTCTTTGATCTGGCCTGACAAAAGAACAATCTTGAGGGTATAGAGCAGTTTAGCCATCCACCTTGCTTTGTGAAGTCAGCCAGGGTAGACCATCGTGAAGTTCACTGGCTCGTATCCTTTAGTAACAGCAGCAGACAAAGCTCTACCAGCTCCTTGTAGTCGCCACGTGTAAATGGTTGGACTAGAGATTCACGGAAGAAGTCAGCCATCTCCTGCTGGCGATCCTCAAACACTCCAGGCATTGCGGGGTAGTAGTATTTCTTTTTTTCATTGTACGCCAGTTGAGAGAAATGGGTCTTGAACCAAGAAATGCAATTATTGGGATTATTGTATTTCGTACCAATCTATAATATTGTTTTAGGGGTATTAAGATTGATATGATCGATCATTTGCTTGGTGTTAGTATATCTTATAAGTCTAACAAAAGAAATTCCACTAGCTCAAACATGCACCGATCTCCAAGAAAATTTACAGGGGTGTTTCCTAGATAAATACACAACACTAAAACTTTGAACAGCATTGTAGGACCATTTTTTTATTTTTGGAGGGCAACGGTTACACCCTACTGTATGTGGTGAACAAAAAGGGTGTAAACCTTTTTATGACAAAGGTGAAAGTAAAAAAGTGATTAGATAATTCAATTTTGCTTGAAAAAAATATGGAGGGTAAGACAATGAAAATAACTATTCATATGAAACTTTATTCCCTAAAAGATATTTGCTGTTGTACAAGTAGTGATTATTTAATGATAGACATGATGCATATGCACCACTTGTGAATCATGGGTAAATGTTAACTATATAACGATTAGTACTGCATATAAATCTCTGCAAATATTTGGATATTATACAAAGTCTTCACACTCCATAATCTCCAATACCACCTGCTAATACAAGTCACCAAACTAAAAACTGATGCAACCATCACTGCCCTCTCATTGGTTTGAGAAAGTTACCAAGTTACCAACAAATACAGCTGAACTTAATACACACACACACACACACAGACTGCAATTCTAATATATTAAATGATCATAATCACCATAAGATTGCTGTTGCTATATACATTTTTTTTTCATTTATGGGAAGGAAGTGTTTCTGATCATGTTAAATAAACAAAGATCAGAAGGAAAGTATATTTGAATGATTTTCTTGAAAAAGAAACGGTAATAAATACTTGCAATAATTATGCAAATTAAAGATCTTAGTACAGTACAGTACAATCAATTTCAACAAATACTGAATTGTTTCTAAAATTATATAAAATACTAAAGGCCTTAAGAATTAGGAATGTTTCTGTATATATCACACAGCAGGTGGGCATCAAGATTCAGAGAAAATCTTAACTGCACATAAATGGTCAAAAACACAACAGCAGGTCACATACCAAACTATCTTAAATAGAGTACACAATACTTTCAAGCACAAAGACTGATTAAAATTAACTAATTTTTTTAATAAAGTAAATTTTCTACACAGCTGCACATGCATGTCATATATATATATATATATATATATATATATATATATATATATATATATATATATATATATATATATATATATATATATATATATATATATATATATATAATATATATATATATATATACATATATATATATATACACATACAGTATATATATATATATACACATATACATACACATACATATATATACATACATACAGTAAAACCTCCATTAACCGACTTTCGGATTAACCGTCAATCCCAAACCAAAAAAATAAATAAATAAAAAAAAAAATTACGGGGATTAGCCCACCCGGGCACAGGTCACTGACCCACATTGGGGCCTGGGGGGCGATAATGTAGTAATATTAATAATGATAATGATAATAATAATGATAAAGAACCATAAAGAAATGCAAAACTGTAAAAAAATCAAGAGTGAGAAACAATGTACCTGTATGTATGTTGTGTTGTCAATAGTAAGAGAAACAATTGAGACCCTGCAATTGTGTGTAAATGAGGCAGATAAGTCATTTCAGCAACCTGGGACTTGGTAACAATTTTTGTGATGACATATGTTCTTTGACTTTTCCATTTTTTATTCATGGTTTCTGTGCTGGTTCATATTTATTTACTAAAGTGGTTAATGTTTTAAAGCAAATTCTATTGAAATATGAATGGCAAGTGAACAAAAATGAACAGAGGGACTTAAATGAGGTAGGTTTGGGAAAGGTACTTTGAAAATGTGTTTTATTTCCGTAGACTTTATGTACCATTAACCGACCTTTTGGATTATCCGTCGGCCCCTTACCCCCATATGTGGTCGGTTAATCGAGGTTTTACTGTATATATATATATATATATATATATATATATATATATATATATATATATATATATATATATATATATATATATATATATATATATATATATACACACACTGCACTTGTGTGTATGTGTAGTCAATATGGATGTGTAACGGAGTTACAGTATTAAATGAATATACGGTTTAACATAATGGCAGTAACATCTCTCAACTTCACATATGTACAGTAAAGTTCCTATAATCTTAAGATAAAAAAAATTTTTAAGCTTCTTTAATCAAAATATAATTCTGTGGCTTGCCTTTTATCTGAAAAAGAAAAAGGAGGGAGAGAATCTTTTTATATACCCTTGATCTCCAAGAATAAAGGCCATTTTCAACAAGAATATAGGTTTGATATTTATCACTTGTTCTCCTTTTGGTTACTAGGAACATCCAAGGACTTGTTTGAAATATCACTTGCAGGTTTAGCATTCCCTTTGCTGTCATCAGCAGCTCCACTTTTGTTTTTTTCTGTCACTACCTCTAACACCCGAGCTCCCGTACTTTTAGACACTTCTTGTATTTCCAAACGTTCTGACACCATCCTTTCTTCCGTGCTCTCTGACAACTGTTTTTCCGTATTTTCCCCTTGTTCTCCCTTTTCCTCTTTTTCTTCATTTTCCTCCTGTTCTCCCTTTTCCTCTGGTACTTCCTCCTCCTCCTCCTCCTCCTCCTCCTCCATTTCTTCAACCTGTTGCTCCCCCGCTTCCTCCTCTTCCTGCTCTTCAAGTACTTCATCTACTGGGCCCTCAGGATCATCAACATCCTGCTCTTCATCTGCTTCTGCATTCTCAGCTTCTACATTCTCAGCCTCTACATTCTCAGCTTCTGCATTCTCAGCTTCTTCATCTTCCACTTCCTGGCCATTTGCCTCTGCAAGCCGGACATTCTTCACATCTCTCAGCTCAAGAACTTCTAATTCTTCAATTGGCTGACCTAATATCATTGAAGGCTCATCTGACCCACCCTCTAGCTCTTTCACTAACTGCCTCAACTTAATATTAGATGAAATGGCAAATTTGTTGTATTCAGGTATGGACATAGCATATACATACATGATCCTGTCTTTGGTCTGTACACGTTCACGTGGACATTTTCCCTTTAATTTTGTTTGAAAAGATGTTCGAGCATGTTCACTCTTTCTCCTACTGAAGCAGGAGGTGGTGCTATCAATAAGAATGGGAATGTCTTCATAAACATTTGCCCTCGAGAGCTCTTCATGTATCTTTTCATCACTTTCATGAATGAGTGTAGTGTATCTGAATCCATACTTTTCAATGGAGCGTGACCATATTTTTTTTGCTACAAAGCATTCTAAATACTTTGGTTCTATTTCTCTAACACCCTCCTCAGCATCATGGTCCAATTCATCACACCATTCTCTTATCTCACATGTGTCTTGGTGTTTGTTGAACCATTCTGTCATTTCTGTAGGGGACATAGAAACAATTTTTTTGGCATTTATCTTGCAAACATGACAATACATATTAGCAACATCATAGTCCAGGACAAGACCCGTTGTCAACTCGATCACAGCACCAGCTACAAGGCAGAAGTCACTACCCCACTGATGATATGTGGTTGTAAAGGCAACAGTAAGATCAATAAGCCCATCAGTTTCAAGTTGGCTCTTAAAAACTTCTCTAACAATGCCAGCACTATACAGTAAACTTTCCTCTGTATCAGCTACAACATCACTAATGACCTGGCGTGCATATACAATGAATGTTGCTTCATTTAGACATCTGGCATTGAAGTATTTACAATAATGACGCAAACCACTGTAGCCAAGGCCATTATCTAAATATGCTGCAACGTGAGCATAATTAATATTCTCTGTCTTCTGAAGCATTATATCCTTTTTCTCACGTTTTCTCTTCCTTTCGCGAATCAAATTTGGGGTATTAGTAGACTTGTGATCTTCACACACTGTACAAGATACTGTGAATTCTGATATCATACCCTTTGTTGTTGGTCTAACTCCTATCCTTACAGCTTCTCCACACTCACGACAAGCCACTAGGGCACCTAACGCATGAACTTGGCTAGTAGACATGTGTAATCCTTCAGACATGCCATCATCGATAACCAGAACTGTAGAAATTACTCCTTTATCTTTTCTATCAATAGTGGTATCTTCACTTTCTACACGAGCTCTCTTTGATGCTCTCGGTCTTGTGGTAACCTCCTCCTCATATGGGGCAACTTTCTTCCGTGGACGCCCTAATCGTTTTGAGGGATCTGAAATAAAATTATTTACCAATAAAATATATAGGAATTAACTCTTCCAACTCACAATATTAATTTATTATAAGAAATTTGTTTTCACCAAACCATTGCAAAGAACATTTAAATATACATGTACTGAATTGCCCAAATGGAAACTAGACATGAGAAGGACCTGGGACTTTTTGGTAATATTAAACTGTGGTTATTATATTATTGTGAGAAAAGGCGAACATAAACCTTTTATATAACTTTGGACATAAAAGGCGAAAAACTTATGCTCAGCCTCGCAACGGCAGAGTGCCCACGTCTAATGGATTATATTTTAAATTAACTCAAAAACTATTCAGTGAAACCGACTGAACTTTGGATGCCATTTGACAGACATCGTTTTCTTTGTGAGGGCCTTATTACCTTCCCCTAGACAGTCTTGGTCATCGTGTGCGTGGCAGCGCAGCATGAAGCCAGTGTTGCTCTGGCCATTAGAGCGAGGAGAGTGAGCCGCTTGGCCCTTTAATTATTCCATGAGTTTTTGTTATTTTATTTTTCCCTATACCACGATATTCTACAAATCTGCATGCTTTGCTCTTTATTGTGGTATATACAGGTTGACAACCTCTTATCCGAAATCCTTGGGGCCAGAGACATTTCGGGTTTCGGAATTTTTCGGTTTTCAGAATGTTTTTTTTTTAAGCCTATCCGGGCACAAGTCACTGACCCACATTGGGGCCTGGGGGGGGGGGATAGAATAATAATAATAATAATTCATAGGTCTAGGTCGTGTTTCTCATTTTTGATGTTTTTTTCATTCTTGTATTTCTTTATTATTATTATTTTATTATTACAGTATTATTGTTATTATTATTATTTTTTATTATATTTTATTATTATTTTTATTGTCATTATTATTCTATTTTGGTGCATTTTTATTAAAATTTTTATTTACTATGAATAATTATTATTACTATTACATTTTCGCTCCCCGGGCCCCGATGTGGGTCAGTGATCTATGCCCGGGTGGGCTAATCCCTGTTTAAAAAAAAAAAAAAAAAAACTTTCGGTGTTCGGAATTTCGGATAAAGGGTTGTCAAACTGTAGTATACATGTCAATGAACACCATAATACTAAACATTTTCCTACCCTTTCAACTTATACTCGAAAAAAGTGGCTTAAATTTCAAGAATTTTCAATTTTTTTTATGGTTTCATACAATTTTAAGCTAGAACAGACCCCATTACAATTAATAAAACAATTCCATGCCAGTGAAATGAGCCCTAAAAAAAAAAAAAAAATTTTTCAATGATTTTTCGACCAAAACTTCCAAGGCTGAGCGTAAGTTTTCATGCCCGTATGTGTCACAGGCTGCGAGGCTGAGAGGGTTAAGGTGTTGGGCAATCATACTTGGGAGTACACACATTAAAAAAGTATCTCTCCACACTTTGTGTGAAACAATATAACATTGCAGACAAAGGAGTTTGACAACCCTACCGAGACACAAGTCATAATGATCAATTCAATATTCAATGGACCCATCTGGACAAATACTTCTTTTACCGTGTGTAGAGGAACCATAATGGATGAGTTGACGGTTCTGGGTAAACACAAGAAATACACTGCCACGTTCGGTGATACATGTACGGTACATATAATTTGTAATAAAAGTTTAAAGGTCTGCTATAATAGTCGAGATAAGTTTATTTCTCTAGCAACAGTCTCCATTTGCAGTGGTCACCACCTTCCCTGCAGACAACACAGGGATGGAGATACGAGTCAATTGAGAAGTAATGACAATGTCTGGACTTTGCTTTGATAATGCCTGTTGCTAGGTAAACATGACAACATAGTGCTGTTATTGTTTTAATGATTCACTAATGAACCACTGGGATATATCATCATTTATATTAATTAATGGGTAACATTTGACTTTAACTATCATAAGTATTTGGATGCTTAGATTCAAGATAGGCTATACAGATATTGGGTAAATTTTAAGTTTTGGTCATCCCTGTACTTAGACATGCAGACTGTTTTTTCCGATGGTTTGCGATGTGTTATGAACGATTTAGACCTTCACTTCTATCGGAAATAACTAGTTTTGAGTTACTACCCCCCACCGATGTATGTTAATCGAACCTTATAACTCATCATACCCTAACCTAACCTAACATATGACCTGTATTTTATTATGTGATCGAAAAATATTTTGCGACAAATCCCGTAGTTAAAATCTTAAGGTTCCCCAGATGACCAAAACCAAAATAATACCAATATTGTTTGGAATTTTTATACAGGTATTCCTCGACGTACGACCACCCGGACATACGACCGCCGCAGTCGTTAAAATAGCTTTCAAATTACCGTATATACTCGTCTATAACCCCCCTCGTTTATAGGTCGACCCTGGTTTTTTGACCAAGAAATCGTTAATTTACGATATTCCTCGTTTATAGTTCGACCCACATTTTTTAGGGTAATGGAACAACAAAACCTTCACTAAAAATGCTCTGCGTCCTATAAACTGAGGCTCGCCGTGCATGAAACACGAGTGCCGAAGGCAAATTGTTTACCATTTATTATTACGACACTTTACACTGAAACGGGGGTAGTTTCAACAAAAATATTGTATATTTCCATTCAAGTATTTATTCAAGTCAATTAGGAGGGAATATTATTGTAATACAACAGTTTTTTAACTAAACCATTCGAAAAACGATTACGGTAACATCTTTTGAACGAAAGAAAGCGAAATTCATTGTTTTCGTCACGATTTTATCCCACTTTCCACTGTAATACGTACGTAATTTCAGCAAAAATATTACATTTCCGTGAATGTATTATATCAAGCACAGTATGAATAGAATCATTGTAATATAACAGAATTTTAACCGAAAACTATTAAAAAAACGAGTAACATCTCAAGAACAGAAGCTTAGGTAAAGTCTTTTGTTTTCGTCATGTATTTTATCCTATTTTACATTGAAATACATCACGTTTCAGCAAAACTACTATTTATTTCCGAGAATATATTCATTCAGGCACAGTTTAGGTAAAATATACGTGTGATGTAATAGTTTTTTAACTGAAAACGATTCGTAAAACACGTACCCTCTAGCCCTGCTCAAGGAGAGGACTGGGAGAAGCTGTTTGGTGCTGCAGACGATACAAGGAAAATGATTTTGATGGATTTTAATGAAAATATTCAGAAATATGGTATCGTAGTATTTATTCAAGTCAATTAGGATAGAATATTATCGTAATACAACAGTTTTTTAACTGAAAACCATTCGAAAAGCAATGACGGTAACATCTTTTGAACGAAAGAAAGCGAAAGTCATTGTTTTCGTCACGATTTTATCCCACTTTCCACTGTAATACGTACGTCATTTCAGCAAAAATATTACATTTCCGTGAATGCATTATATCAAGCACAGTATGAATAGAATACCATTGTAATATAACAATATTTTAACCAAAAACTATTAAAAAAACGAGTAACTTCTCTTGAACATCGGAAGGTTAGGTAAAATCTTTTGTTTTCGTCATGTATTTTATCCTTTTACATTAAAATACATCACGTTTCAGCAAAACTACTATTTATTTCCGAGAATATATTCATTCAGGCACAGTTAAGGTAAAACATACATGAGATGTAACAGTTTTTTTAACTGAAAACGATTCGAAAAACACGTGTACCGTCTAGCTGATACAGCTGGTGGTGCGTGAAGCGTCATTGTAAACAATAGGAGGTTGAAGTAGATTACCTGGTATTATATTAAGTGTGAAATATCGAAAAAGTTTTTAATACCGGTATTTTTTGTAGATCAATGAGAACTGTGATACCGTTGTAAGGTAATTTAGCCTATTGTAAGTTGGTGAGCTTCATTTGCTGAAGGAACCGAACAACTTTTCATTACTAATTGGTACATATTTTACGTTTCCATTGTTTACTGGCAGTAAATGGTAAATATTTTCCATGTCTGAAGCTAAAAGTTGCTCCTCGCCCTTCCCATCATGCACGGGTTCAACCTAACAAAACTATTACGCATGTATAGGACGACCCCCAATTTTTTGCCTAAAAATTTGGTCTTTAAAACTCGAACTATACACGAGTATATACGGTACGTATTTTTGAGTCCCGACGTTGGTGATCGCGCTGAGTACTGACAAAATTTTCATTTGTAATTCCCTTTAAAATGGCTGGCAAGCGTAAAAGTGAGAGTTCTCGTGGTGCTGAGAAGAAAAAGAGACACGCATTTTAAATTATCTATGTACGTATTATTTTCGCATTTTCGACTTACAACCAATTTGACTTACGACCTGGTCGTCGGTACCTAACCCCATCGTAAGTCGAGGATTGACTGTACAGTACTATGAAATTTGTAGTATGGGCAGCTAATATCCCTTGGATTAGTTAATGCACTTAGTAATATTTATATATTAAAAATAGCTTTACTGTGTTTCACAGTACAGCACAATTAATTATCTAATACAGTGAACCCTTGAAGATCCGGACTAAAGGGGGGGGAGGACCACCTGTCCGGAAAAACCGATTGTCCGAATGTACAAAATGTATAAAAACGATAATTAATTTTATAAAAAACACCAATAATACAGTACATACGTATTATCCTGACTACTGGAGTTAGTTATGCAGACTTTTTCCTGTAAAACAGGCCTTAATTTTGAGCAATATATTACTGTAATCATTTGTACTCGATGTACTACACTAACAGACAAAAAAAATTTATCTTTTTTTTTGCAAAATATATGATATCAATACTCAAATTATTCGCTATCTTGCAAGGATTCCAGCAATGCAAGTTATAATCTGTTAATTTTAGCCCAAAATTTTATAAGATAAGAACTTTAAGCCTAAAACCACCTTCACCCTGACTGGGAGAATGAGGGAGGGCCGAGGGGGGAGGTAAGGTGTTTTGGTACTCGGCAGTGAAGGTTACCTAGTGCGTATTTATTTATCTGTCATATAGAGGGAGTTCAAGTTTTTGGCTTATAAA